GAGAATTTTTTTTAATATTTATTTTTTTTTAGTTTTCAGTGGACAGAACATCTTTATTTGTATGTGGTGCTGAGGATCGAACCCTAGCCGCAGGCATGCCATGCGAGCGCGCTACCACTTGAGCCACATCCCAGCCCCCTCCAATGATTCTTAAGCTAAAAGCTGCCTGAAGCAATTGTATTGAGATTATTTTATCCCCTATTCCTAGCATAGCATAATACCCATAATAGATACGCAAAAAAGGCTGAGTATCCCTTATCTGAAATGTTTAGGACCAGAAGTATTTCAGTCTTCAAAGCCTTCCAGATTTTGGAATATTTCCATAGACTTTTCAGGTTGAGTATCCTTATTTCAAAAATCCAAAATGTACCCAGTGCAGTGACGCGTGATCATCCATCCCAGCAAATTGGGAGGCTGAGGCAGGAGGATCCCAAGTTCAAGACAAGCCTCAACAAGTTAGTGAAAGCCTCAATAATTCAGCAAGATCCTGTCTCAAAATAAATAAATAAATGAGTTGGGTATATGGCTCAGTCCGTAGAGTTACCCTGGGCTCAATATCCAGTAACACCCTCCCCGAGTCCCAAATGCTCCCAAATCTGAAACTTTCTTAGCAAAGCATTTTGGAAAACTTCAGATTTTACAGATTAGGATTGTTCAACCTGTAATAGTGTTTGGAAAAAAGTAATGAAAATCTGTAATGCTCCTAAAAAAACAAAATGGACACCATACTACCTCTAGGAGCAAAACTTTTCCTTCATTCCTAATACTTTTTTAAAAAATATTTTTTTAGTTGTAGATGGACACAATATTTATTTATCTATTTTTTTAAAGATGGACACAATATCTTTATTTATTTTATTTATTTATTTTTTATGTGGTGCTGAGGATCAAACCCAGTGCCTCACAGGTACAAGGCAAGCGCTCTACCACTGAGCTTCAGCCCCAGCCCCCTCTTCCTAATATACTTTTAATTATTAATAGACAATTGTTCCTACCACAATAATCTCAAAAATGGTCCTTAAAGAGAATCACAAAAGACAATTATCCCTGTAATTAAAAGAAAACTAATGAAAAAGCATTTTAACCTCCCTATTTTAATTATTTTTAAAATTCTTAGTCTTAATACTAAGTAGCTAGGTTGGCATGAATTAAATAATTGCAACATAAAAGCTATAATTAAAAAAAACCAACCAAATTCTTACTGGATAACACAAAATCATCAAATTACTTTTTTAAATTAATAACAATCATTAAGCAAAGCTTCTTAAGTACCTCTCAGGTATTCTCCCTAAAAAAATTTTGGTCCTTGATACTGTTGTGAATGAAAGTTCAAAGTTCAAACTATACACACACATTCACACAAATTTTTTCCCTCTAAATAAGATATATAGTGTATGCTATTGTATGACATACATATCTTTGTAGGAATAAGGAAATTTACTGCTAAGCATAAGCATTACTAGTGGGCATTTCTTAAATATTAACCTGTTTACTCCCATAAATTCCATGTTACTAACCCAACCTTCTACTACTAAAGCTGGGGAAAAGGGGGGGCCAGAATTAATGTATAAAAAAATTGATTCACATGTAACCTTTCAGTAACATTACTCTTGGGTGCAAGGACACAGACTGCTTAGGGGGTCCTGTAGCACAATCTACAGGATCTTTAGATAACCTAACAAAAGTAAACTATGGCCATCATAAAGTCAATCAATTTGATTCTCCTGCTCTCTAAACAAAAGGCCAAGAAGTCTAGCATTTAGAATATAACAGAGGTCTCAATTTAGCTTTATCAACAACCTACACACATATATTCAGTTCTTGCATCAAGCCGTCATAGCTCTCCTTAACAATGAAGGTAAAACTCATGACCAAAACAGAGCTCCCAGGAATGTTTTCAGTTGGATTATAAAACCTAATGTAATATCTTCCATCACTTCACTCTCTAAATTCATAATATTGGATGGGGCAGGAAAGAACTTCCCTCAAAAGCATGGGTATAAAATATGACTATCTCAATTGTTATTTTTCAGTTGGCAGAGGCAAAGGGGTTATTCTATGGGTAACAGAACAATAAAAGGAAAAAATATTTTTGATTGCTACAAAACTGGTCCATGCTCAGAAATGTGGGCATCCACACGCCAAGTTATAGACTATGATCTAAGACAGACTTAAATGTAGAAGAAAATGTCAATGCTCTGCTTCCTCAAAGAAACATACAACCCAGTCAACTGCTGAACACCATCTAACCAACACCTGCCAGAGCGGATATTTTAAATATTATATCAGGAAATCATGATAAGTACTAGAGGTTCCTCTAGGCCTCGGCAGCAGCCTTAGATACAAGAGCAAACTCGAGCCCTCTTAACACTCAAATAATGATGTTGATGTCATTACAAGGCTACTGATTCTTTGCACTCCGGACAAGTCATTCCTTCATCCACAACGCAATTCCTCCCTCACCCATCCCTATTTCCCCCAATAAAGAGATCTCTAGACAGAGACGCCTTCGGATACCCCCCCTCCTCCTCTACCTCCAGTGGCTGCCGCTTTCTCCTCCCTCGGGCTCCGAGGCGGGGGCTCCGAAGGTCCCGGGCAATTCCGAACCCGGGCACTGCTTGTTTTGCCTGTGCACTGGAGCTCTGCCCAGCCGCTTCCTTTCCCAGTTTGCCCCCAACTGGAACGCCAAGGGTACCAGGGGGCCCAGGAGGGAGCCTGGGTGGCGACGTCGCCTCTGCCGCCGCCTCTGGTATGTCAGGGGCCGGGATTGTATTTCGAAAGATCCGCCATTTTCACCTCGTCATCACCATCACAGCTCAGCAGCTTCCCCGACAGCCGAGCCCGGGCCGCCGCCGCCGCTGCCGCCAGTCACCTCCCCCTTCCTCCTCCTCCCCGCCCCGGCCCGCCCTCCCGAGCGGCGCACACCCACATATCCGGGGAAACCTCCCGCGGGCCCCGCCAACCTTCAAACGCGCACAGGCAGTACAAGTGCTTACAGGCTATGCTCTGCCAAGACCTTTCACCCCAGAACCAAACACCCGGCTCCCGCGGGCCGGGCAGCAACGCCAAAGGAAGTCGCGCTACCTGCGGGGTCCCAAGTCCGGCATGTTTTTGCTCAGAAAAGCAAAAGCCACGAGGAACGTAGCATAAGGACAATAAAGAACCCAAACTCTTTCATTTTCAGAAAAGCACTTGAAAGAGATGGTGAAATGCGTTCTTTCGCTGTGTCCATCTCAGACGCTAAAAACACTAACAAGACCTTACTTAACGTCACTTACCAACTTTGACATTTTACGCTGTCCAGGGAACTACTTTGACAGAATGAGTTATTTCCATATGCGTATCTAACCTCTCTGACACCTTTGTAAATTACAGGCACCTACCCTTGAGCAGATACAATGGTCAAAATCTTTGATCTTAAAAAATAGCGTTCTGAACTACTGCCATTTCCACTTAATCTGATCATTTCAGTTCATTAACACTGACTTCTAATTTGTCACTGGTTTGGGACGTCAAACGCCACTAAATTTAAAACGTACAGATCCATCTGTGAAAACATTCATGAATGATCAGCTTCTGAAATACAGAAAATATATCTTGGCCTAATGTTTTTGGGATGTAAGTCACCAAATTAAAACCGTCTACCGCTGATACATTTGTTCAATGTAGTAGAATATGCAGATTGCTTTAGAACAAGAAAAACACCAGCTTCTCTACTTGTTTAAAAAGTAACTAAAAGAGAATATAGGTACTTTTTTAGTCATCTCAGAAATAGGAAGCACAAGCTTCAAGTCTTGTTAGATAAGCCTTGCATTTAAAAATTTAGCTAATCTTTGCTAATTTCAGAAAAAAAAAAAAACTTGCCGGGGGGGGGGGGGGGGGGGGGGGGGGGGGAGCACGCCTGTAATCTCTGAGACTCTGGAGGCTGAGACAGGGGATGGAGAGTTCAAAACCAGCCTCTGAAACTCAGCGTGACCCTGTCTCAAAATTTAAAAATAAATAAATAAATAAAAAGAGATGGGGATGTGGCTCAGTGGTTGAATCCCTGATACAAAAGAAAGAAAGATTTAATGAAAGATTTAAAGGCTGAATTCTACACCATTGAACTACAACATAAGCTTTAAAAGATCTATTTGAAATGAGCAGGTTGAATTTGAAGGTTGTGAATAGGGTAACAGTCTTCTAAATAAAGTTAGTCTAAGAGTAAGGAAGAAGTTGAAAGAGCCAATTCATTTTCCTACATTGTTTGAATGACAACGCCACATAAAAGTTGGTAAGGCTCAGGCTTACACAAATGCTATTTACCAGTCACTCCAAGCCGCGTTTCTATATGCAGCCTGCTAGACGCTGAGAGTATACGGTGGTCCCAGTTTCTTCATCTTTAAACTTAACTTTCCCCACCGACAGTCCCGTTCACCCGCACTCTGTTGGTTGTTTACCGTTGCTTGGCCAAGCTAAGTCCCAGCCCGCTCCCTTCCCCGTGCACCTCAGGAACATTATGACATTAGGCTGGTGGGCTTCGCGAGGAAAACGGACACATACCAAGAAGAGCTCATACAAAGGGGCATGGGAAGAACGCGGCGGCGGGCAGCAGCGAAAGGAAGGGCTGGTACAAAGTGACACAGCAGCAAAACCGGTTCCCAGAAACCCAGGGCCGACACGGCCGGCTTATTCGGCCGCGCTGTAGCTTGTCAACAGACTCGGGAACCCTTCCTCCAGTCCGCCGTGCAGGCGGCTGGCAGAATGCTGGCGCTGCCGAGTGACAGCGCCCTCCGGGTGCCGGCGGGAAGAGGCCGAGACCAGAGGATTCACCGCCGCCTGCGGCCCGGGGATGAAGCAAGGCGGTTTCCACCAGCAGGTTCCCGCTCCCGGCACGGCCCATTGGCCCAGGCTCCCAGAGGGAGCGGTCCGGCGCTCTCAGCCAGCGCGGCCACACGCTGTGGGGGCAGGAGCCCTTTCCCGCCCGCCCATAAGCCCCTATCTCGGGAGCTGACACTCACCAAAACCGGCGGCGCCGCCGCCTCCTTCTCGCGCGGCGCTCCCCGGGCTCCCAGCAGCCGCGGCGGCGGCGGCGCCTCCGAGACACAGACCCGGGTTTGTTCAAAATCACGCGCCCAGCGCCATTCCACCGCTGCATCCCATAATACGCTGGGCCCTCCCCGCCCGCGCGCCCCTCTCCGCCCGCCCCTCCACTCTGCCCGCCCCGCCCCGCCTCCCTGCTGTCTTCCTTCGCCCCACCCCTTCCGCGGCGCCTTGCCCCTCCCCTTGGCAACCCGAGCTCGCGTCATTCCGCTAGGCTCGGTGAGTACGCTAGTGCTCCACGTGACTCCAAGTGGGCGCTCTGTCAAAGCTTTCGCACGGAATGTTCCATAGGACAGAGGCTGGCGGGGGGGTTGGGGGGAGACCCGGTTCCCGCCTGCAGTTGGGAGAGGCTGTCTCTTCGGCGGGCTACCTTTCCTTGTTAGGAAGTCTACGCTGTAGGTGCGATTTCCAGCATCCCCCCGGCTTTTTGAGGTTCTTGGGTCAGGAGGTGATCAATATTGACAAATACTCAATCTCTTCGACTTTAGACACAGATTTTGCAAGGGTCGCTAAAAAGACCTCAGGAGGATACCCAGTTAGAACTTATTTTGAAAGAGTCTTTTTTCTCTTTCTGCAATACAGTATTCACCTAAAACATAATCAAAATTCTTTCTTTACCTTTTCCTACTTTTATTTTCCCTGCTATTTATAAGGTAACAAGTGTGGAGTCAGATATAAAGGCACTGAGGTTATTCAGTTAACAATTATTTGTGAGACAAGAACGACACAACTAAACAATAGTGAAATACAGAAGTGTGTAAATATTAAACGTGGTACGGTCTATAATTGCTAACGGAGCACTAAGAATACACAGGTCCACGTGAGACTAGCTTGGGACCGCGGCGTGGTGGGGGGTGGAGTGAGACATTGAAATGGAAACTTTGGAATCCAGCAGCCCAGGTTGTAAATCCTGGCACCTCCATTTATTAGTGTTTAAAGTTTAAGTTTCTTTTCCCATCTACAAAATATAAATGCAACTTCCCAGGATTCTGAAGGCTAAATAAGTGTCAAGCACACTCTCTGCCTCAAATGATTAGTTCTACTGGACCATACTATTCTGTCCAGCCTTTATAAACTCAAGGATTAGGATTTAATAATGGCAAATGGCATGGAATTGGGAAAGTCTGTAGTAATGCAAGGAAGGGAGAAAGTATAATGATATACACATATTTTGTTGGGGATCTGTAGTGTGACCCTAGTTTGTGAAGCACCTTGAGAGAAATCCTCATGGTGCTAGTGTGGGACATGTCTGGAATGAAGAAAGTACCCAGGCTACATTGGGTTTTTAGGGAGACAAAGAATCCCCAAAAAGGAAGAAAATTTTCCTTATTTTTTTTTTCCTTCTTCTCCTCCTCCTTTTGTGGTACTGCAAATTTAACCCAAGGTGCTTTACCACTGAGCTACACCCCAGCCCTTTTTTATTTTTGAGACCGGGTCTTACTAAATTGCTGAGGCTGGCCTTGAACTTGCAGTTCCCCTGTCTCAGCCTTCCCAGTCACTAGGATTTCAGATGTGTGCCACCGCAATTGGCCTAGGCTGATATAATTCTGATACCAAAAAAAAAATACCAAATAATAATAATAATGATGGAAACTTTTCTGATTTCATTGAAGACAAAACTGAATATTAAGATTTTTATCAAATCCAGCAATGTATTAATAAAATTCACTTCATGTCAAAGTATGGTTTATTCCAAGAATGTAGTTTAACATTAAGAAATCTCACATGACTTATTAGAAAAACAAATGGAATCTCAACGTCATGTACATCCACAAGACTGGCATCCTAATTAAAATAAGATATATTCCATGTTTGTATAAATTCTCAAAATAGGCCAGACTCATTGGCACAGGCTTGTAATCCCAGCAGCTTTGAAGGCTGAGGCAGGAGGATCGCAAGTTCACAGCCAGCCTCAGCAATGGTAAGGCACTAAGCAACTTAGTGAGACTCTGTCTCTAAATAAAATTCAAAATAGGGCTGGGGGATTCTACTATCATGTATAACTAAAAATAATAATAATAAATAATGACATTCTTTAGAAATTCACTGTATAACATTTAACAGCTATTCTGAATTTTAAAAATTTTGTCAGAAACCTGACAAAAATGTAGAGAAACAGCAGCCATTATTTTACATTTTTCAGTGTGACCAAGCTAAATGCAATTAAATTTTTTTTAAAAAAGTATCTATACTGGAAAGAAGAGACTAAACAGTTCTAATAAAAAAGTCATAAATAGCTGGGGATGTAACTCAGTGGTAAAGCACCCTGGGTGCAATCTCCAGTACCAAAAAAGAACAACAAAGAACAGTTATAAAGAGTTCAGAGTTCAGGTTAATTGGTTGGCCTCTGGAGCCAATCTGACAGGGTCCACATCCTGGCCCTGCAAATTAATAGCTATGAGTACCTAAGCAAGTTACTTTCCCTTTCTGTCTTAGAGACCTATCTGTAAATTGGGAATAGTGCATACATCATAAGGTTGTTGTGACAATTAAGGAGGTAAAATGTGTAAAACACATAATGTCTGGCATGTAGTAAGCACTAAGTGGTTGAAAGCTATTAATAAACCTATAACACAGTCTAAAAGAGAATCCAGTGTAATAAAATCTAGTCTAGGCCAGGCACGATGGCACACATTTGTAATCCCAGGGATTCCTGAGGCTGAAGCAAGGAGGATCATAAGCTTGAAGCCAATCTGGACAACTTAGCAAAACCTTGTCTCAAAATAAAAAATAAAAAGGACAGGATGTAGCTCAGTGGTAGAGCACCTTGGGTTCAATCCCCAGTACCAAAAATAAATCAATAAATCTAATTTTTTCAAAGAAAGCATTTAAGTTCCTAAGAGCCTTTGCTATTCAAACATCCATATTTCAGAAGAGAATCTTTCTTTTTACATTTGCATGATGGCTCTTCCAAATGAACAAGATAAAGCAGCTCTAGCCAATGAACATGGGATGTGGTAGCCACTATCCCTGATATGTAGCCACTAGCCCTGTGTAACATCAACTCAAATGTGGCTAGTGTGGATTTAGAACTGACTTTTTCATTTTAATTGCCATTAATTTAAATTTAAATAGCCACATGGCTAATGACTATAATATTGGAGCACAGAGGAATTGAAAAAAACTATTTAAAAATAAGGACAAGAGTATGGAAGTAAGAGTTGGGTAGAATTATTAGAAAACAAAACAGAATGTTATGTTATGTGTCAGATATACTGCTTGGTACAACAATATACACTCATTAATAAAGTTTTCTTAAAGTTCTTAAAATTGGTTAGTTTCTAAAAGATTAATCAGAAGTTCCTTAGTTCATGAGTTCATTTGTCAGAAGTTCAGAATGTCTGGGTTCAAGCAATTTACTTTAATTCTTTTTATTTTATTTCTTTTTCTTTATCTTATGGGGTTCCCCCACCAACAACAACGGACCCATAATCCCTCATTGCCAATTTCAAAATCCAAAATGTTTTAAAAATGAAAGGTTTGGGGCTGGGGATGTGGCTCAAGCTGTAGCGCGCTTGCCTGGCATGCATGCGGCCCGGGTTCGATCCTCAGCACCACACACCAACAAAGATGTTGTGTCCGCCGATAACTAAAAAAAATAAATATAAAAAAAAAAAATGAAAGGTTTCTGGAAGATTATCACAAACCCATATAATAGAAAAGCCTGGCCCTATATAACATGTTATAAATAAGCTTTAGTAAAACCATTTAATGTCAATATTTACATATGTCAGTATAGAAATATGAATGAATTTAATTATGGGATTTGATACTTGACCATACCAGTTGGAAGGTGTTTTCTGAGATAATGGAAATGTTCTTTCTTTCAGACTCTTCCTGTTGCCCATGCTGATCTTGAACTCTTGGACTCAAGTGAGCCTCCTGCCTCAGCCTCCCAGTACTAACCGGGACTACAGGCATGGGCCACTGCCCCCAGCTTATGGGAATGTTCTTTATGTGGTGGTGGTGTTTTTTATTGTTTGTTTCTTTGGTTTTTGGTACTTGGGATTAAACCAAGGGATGCTTTACCACTGAGTTACATCCCCAGTCCTTTTTATTTTTTATTTAGAGATAGGGTCTCACTAAGTTGCTTAGGGCCTTGCTAAATTGCTGAGACTGGCCTGGAACCTGAGAACTTGAGATTCTCCTGCTGGTAAGCACCACTACACCCAGCTGGGAATGTTCTTGACCTTGATTATGGTGGTGGTTGTGCAAGGTCTAAACTTTTCAGGTAAAATTAATAATAGATTAATTTTATTAATTATACCACATTAAACTTGGTTTTAAAAGAAAAAAAATGAGTTTTAAAAAATTTGTGCATGTTCTTTAAAATCCAAAATATCCTCAATTTTCAAACATATTTGAACTCAAGGGTTTTGTATAAGGAAATTGATAACACTTTGAATACAAGTTTTTTCACTTATGGTACACAGTGTGATTAATAATGTCAAATGATCCCCAGAATAAAATAAATTCAACCACGAAAATCATCTCTTAGTGGCAGAAGCTTTCATTTACTTTTCCTTTGGCAATAATATTTTTTCCCTATAATAGTTATTTTTGCTTTTCTACTTAAAATGAGAGAAGTATTCTCTGTAATTTTCTGATGCACTAGTCCTTCCAGGGGTATAAACACCCCAATGGGTAGGACTGGGGTTTCCCACGTAAAGAAATATAATGCTAATATTAGTCATCCTGAGAAGAGGCATTGTCATGAGACAGGATATGGGGACTTGAAAGAAGGGCTCAGACTGATAGAGGGGGAGTGTGTCCCCTGAGGCTTTGCTCATTTGGACTTGGACATACATTATTTCAAGGAATGTACCCATCTTCTTCCACCCAATAGAAGGAAGAAGACACCTACTCCTAAAGATACTAGAAACTAGGCAGAGTTTTTATTGCAAAATATCTGAAAATTCTTCATGGCTTATAAAGGCAGGCATTTATTTTTCTCA